AATACAATATCTACAATCTTCTTACATATAATAAAATTATCAGTCGTCCGAACTCCATGAGCGCGAAATTATAATATAAATTTAACTAGTAGCCTGTTTTTCTTTCCTTTCCGGTTATGTTCTACAAATATGCCAAATTTTATCAAGATCCATGCAGTTACATTCTATAAACATCCATCCAAACTTTCGCATTTATAATATTAGTAAGACGACTGAAAAGTATAAAGAAAAAAGCTGACCTATTGACAGTTTTAATAGGTTCCATGGTAAGTTTTTTTTTCGTCAAATTCAGCAGAATTGGTAGTACTGAATGTACTCATTGTCGAGTAATAGATTTATGGATAGTAATAGTATAAAATACTCCAGTGTTTGACTTGAGACATGGGTCAAAAACATTATTATCTTGACATATCTTTGTCTCACCAAATGTATTTTCGTAATCATATCAGTATTATACTGTCAATATATGAAAATATTATCGCTTGCCTATCTTAAAACTTGAGATGCACTCCAACAAACTGAATATTGTACAAATAACCAAAGTATTGTGTAAAGATTACACTCAAAATCTCAGTATTTTGTTCATACAACACATTATATAAAAGCGAACAAGTTCGCCAACATGTTCGGTTCAAGTGCTACGTCCAGTTTTCTAACGCTCGGCGCGTTGCCGATATTTCCCGCGCAAGTGATTACAACAGCCATCGTATCAAATGTTATGCTTTCTGTACCGGTAATTATAAACATATAAATATCTCATTAATAGTGACTCAATATCATCTCCCTGTCCTTATCTAACTTATATGGGGTCAGAGCACCAGGTTCTCTTCCTCCAGATCGATCTTTCCCCATTCATTTAGGGTAAACAGTGTTAATTATGTTACCAATAATATAGTTTATTAAAGCTATACAAAGGAAATAGATTCATCAGAACTAGAGATGAGAGATCCTTTTACTCACTTTCGCAGAAATGTTGCAAAAAGGAACTTATGAGCGCGATTTTCTAGCGAATCATTCGTATAAAATATTTTATTATCTGTCAAATTCTTTCTGAGAATACTGAGATAATAATTACCTATTTTATGGACGTTTCCAGTGGAAACGTATTCTGACAGACTGTCAAAATTGTACCATTGGATAATTGTGTTTTACAAGTTTTTTTTTTTTAATTTTCGTAAGTAAAGTGTGTAAGCATTTTGATCATGTACTCGCTTGGGGGCATAGTATCATTAAGGTTATTTTTTCTGGAAACTTGATCGTACTAACCATATACAGTAATATATGCCAGCTACAGCCTTTGCAAGATAAAACAAATATTTTTCTAAACCAATTTATTGATAGATTGGTACAAGTACGGATGCCAATTCCCTGAAAAAAAATAAGTATGTACTTAAAAAAAATAGCGGGAATATGTGGTTTGCGTGCACAGAAGCTTGTCAAGAAATTTTGAGCGAATCGGTTTTTTTATTCGAAATTCTAAACTTAATATTAACCTAGTATATCTTAATATATGAACAATCTCTCGAAGATTCTCGGTTGGCGGTCGGAATGCAATGGCGTCGTTGCGATGCATCAGAAACAACTTTTTGCCGCGCAATTAAGTCGGGGGGCTCGGCTGGTTCTGTGAAATCAGTAACATGTTTTATCGTAAAATATCTGAACGACTACGTAATTACTCTTTACGTCAGGCGATTTATTTTTTTTTACTTATTGACAGTTATAATTAAAAATAATATAGTAAGTACTGAAATTTTTATCGCGTAGATAATTAAAGGTTAATCGACAAATACGCTTATTTTAATATATGTCAAGGATTATAAAATGTATATCAAGGTCTTTAATTATTTGCATAATTTTACTTCATAAAAATCGCTTTAGAGTTATAAAAATTTCATAAAGACCAGAAAAGCAAAGAGGTGTTATATCTTAATTCGATAATTTGCAAATATAATGATAATGACATTACTACGTTATAGATTTTATACTTTGCGATTTAATATTACTGGTATGAACTTTTAAATTAATTTACCTATCTGTTGATAAAAAAAAAACAAAATGAATTCCGAATTTTCCGTTCTACGTAATACACTGATAGTTTGGTTAATGTTATTTTTCTGTTCGTTCATACATAACATATTAAATGTATTAGTTACTCAGTATTTTTTACTAATTCGCGAATCGACAAGTAAAATGACTTTGTATTCAGCAAATGCCTTGTCTCTTCAAATGATAAGATTAACTTTTTAATTTTATCAATTGTATATCGGACCAATTCATTGCAAATAATCTATGATAAAATAAAATAAAAAATGCTAAATTTTACCGGTTTCATAATACTTTTAAGGCACCATTTTAAGGAAACCTACATTCCCTATCTATCTATGTTATCCACCAAGACCAGAAATCTAGGTTGTATAAATTAATATTGCATTCTTTACAAAAGTCTAGATTTATAGTTTTATAAACGAACATCCGCCTTTCTCGTCCGGTTGTGGAACCATAAATAAAGAAGATCGAACGGGCAACATTTGCCCTAACGGTAAGTAATGGTCGCGCATAGACAACTTCTTTGGGGCATTAAGATTCGACTCGGGATGTCTTTTAAAATCTCCGCAGACTAACGGAATGCGGTGTATTTACTACTTAATTATTTAAAACCTTTAAATAATATACATTTAAAAATCTAATAATAAATATAGCCTATGTCACCCGGGGATAGTGAACCGAGATTTCATGTTTTTAACTATGTTCAACGAAGATTTCAATTTAAGAAGATTTTATACTGTTTCTGGCCTCATATTCCTTATGTCTATGTACCGCATGTTCAAGTGTATGTAGTACTTCATACTTGCTTCAAAAAATATTATCGTTGTGTTGTTTTAGTTTCTTTAAACCTTCAAAGATTAAAAATAATGATAATAACAAATCGTTATCTTAATTCCTGGGTCGTTTAATAAGCAATCGTAATTCCTTACTTCCGTTGAAAGACAGTTTATAATATAATGTACATCTCCTAACGTGAGTTACTCGTAAATCACAAATCTTATGTTGTCGTATTAAATATAAAATATTCCCGAGACAGTTATTATATTATTCTGCGACAAAACATGAAATTAACAATGGCTTGTGCAAATCGTTCGCTGTGACGCGTGTAAGTGAACATTTATGTTCACATTAAAAAAAAACAAATGAACCATTAAAACAAAGATGTTGCTATTATCATGCATAACAAGGCACAGGCAGTTCTCATCGGCAGCCATATCTGATCATAATAATAAAATATTTACACTACATTGTTATAGATAGATAAATCGTAATACGAGCCATAACCATAATGCTATTGACGATAATGAGCAATAAACTTTAGTTGTACCGCCCCCAATAAAACATTTGTTTATTGGTACGTATAAATATTAACAATACTCCAAAATCCCCTGTATTTAATTTTTCTTGGTAACATAAACCACTTTCAATGGTATCGACATTCAATACAGAGTTTTGTATAATTATTATTGAATGTTGAAACAGTATCGTCTTTTGTTATTTTAATAACAAGCCAAGTATTTACTCATTTTGTCTTTATTCAAATGAAGCGCTGCCGAGTGCTGACTGCTGGCCATTGCTTCGTTATTTTTCAACTGTCAAAGTCAAGGACAAAATAATTACCATATCGCGTGACAGGAATTTCAAATGCACAAAACATTAAATTCTCAAATTCAGTGCGCTATTTACGAGGAACGGAACGGAACGTGTCATTACAATTTTTTGCCTAACATTAATTTGACCCACAAAGAAAGCAGAAAAAACAAATTTCTGTTTGGCGCGATCTAGACATACCCATAATGCTTCTCTACATCCTTATAGCTTACTAGTATATACAGGATTAAAATGTAACTGCATTACTTATCACCACAACTTCTGGTAATTGCTATTTTCTTTTGGCAGGCGTAACAAACTTTTGCCTCAAATATTTATTTTAGTATTTTATCTTATATGATGAGTTTATACATACTAATAATATTAAATAAAAATAATAACAAGGTCTTAAAACAAACTCAAAGTTTGCTGTAAACAAAGTAATAATATTATTCTTTATGGCAATGATACTGAACTGACGTATGACGTTTGTTCATGCTACGTCAAGTTGACGTCACTATCAATTTATCAATATAGCAAGTCAGCTGCGAAATGTTTTGGCAAACAAAGTAAACGTCGATTTGATTTATGTAAATAATGTGTAGTGTTTTCTTTACAATAAAATTATACATATAAAATGCGTGTAAAACTATTTGGCTGTTTCCGTAAGCGTCGTAACCCTGAAACTGAACCATTACTTGGTGAGGCCGGTCCTAGCAGAACCCAAAATGAGGTAAACATCTGTAAACCTATTATATTGGTGTCAATTTCATTTCGTTTTGAAAACATATTTGTTCTAAAAGGCAGAAAAGATAGGTCTGTTTGTTAACTATAACGGTATTTTTCACAGTATACAAACAAACATTATAATGATTACCATATTTTTTTTATAAGTGATCTCATTGTTCCTAATTACCATATTAGGTATTTTCAAAAAAAGGTTTAGCACAAAGTTTTTATTCCAAAATAGTATGGTTACAAAGTATAACTAGTAAACCCAACGGTGGTTACTCTTGGTAAATATGGAATAATAGTAAACATGTTTATAATTGTAAATTAACTCAAACAAATACTACTGGTAAAATTTAATAAACTTCGCCTATAACCTGTAACTCGTTAACTTGTTTATAGTTATGTGTTTTTATTGAAACAATAAAAGTATTTAAATAAATTATTTCATGTATATGTATATCATGTTCATGTGTATAGAATTCAATGTAAAGAAGCTTTACTCATGTTTTTTTTTATATTTTTAACATCTAGAGACTGATTACACTATAGGCTTTCACTAAGATGTGTTGCATTCGTAACATGTTTAGTTTTTTATTATTTAGTAACTAATTGATTTATTTTCCTCATTCCAGCAGACACAAGCAAACAACGGCATGGCAGAGATCGGAGTGTCGCAGGCGGCGCTGGTGGAGCCACGCGGAGAGGGAGGCCGCAAGCTGCCCCAGTACATCGCAGCTTTGACGGGTAACTATCATGACATACTATTACAGGTTATGCAAATTGTCTGTTGCACAATGATGACACTTCATTATGTCCTCCTCATCTATAAGTAATTTCACTTGTTTCTCATTGTACCCTAAGCATGAAATAAATCACCCATACGTCTTTATGAAATTAAACCATAAATAAAACTCATTTTGTTATGTTTTCAGCCACTCTGGGCGCATTGGCTGCCGGGTCTATGCTCGGCTGGTCTTCTCCGGTCATATTCAAAATCACGCAAGCCAACAGCACCGATTATGATTTCGATGTCTCACAATCCCAGGGCGACTGGGTGTCCTCGCTCATCAACCTCGGCGCCGCAGCTGTCTGCTTCCCCATCGGACTCATCATGGACGCGCTGGGACGGAAGAAGACCATGTTGTGTCTCGTTGCTCCTTTCACATTGGGTTGGCTTCTCATTACCTTCGCGACTAACGTTGGAATGCTCATGGCTGGAAGAATCATCACCGGTATAGCCGGTGGAGCCTTCTGCGTAACCGCCCCTGCTTACACCAGTGAAATAGCGCAGGACTCCATCCGCGGCACTCTCGGCAGCTACTTCCAGTTGATGATCACAGTCGGTATTCTCTTCTCTTACGTCGTAGGAAGCTACACCACTGTATTCGTCTTCAACATTCTTTGTACCATCATTCCTATTATATTTGGTATAGTATTCTTCTTCATGCCCGAAAGTCCTAACTTTTTAGTGGTGAAGGGCAGGAACGATGAAGCGAAAGACGCTCTTATCAGACTCCGAGGTAGGAATTACGACGTCGATTCCGAATTGGATACCCTGATCAACAAAGCTGAAGAGGCGAAAAACAACCCGGTGTCATTTCTGTCCGCTATCACAAAGAAGACGGCGCTAAAAGCTATTCTTATCTGCTACGCATTGATGTTGTTCCAGCAACTATCTGGTATCAACGCCGTAATCTTCAATACATCCGCCATCTTTGCTAGCGCCGGTGCGGCCATCCCGAGCGCGATTGCCACTATCATTATTGGCGTGATCCAAGTAGTAGCTACCTTTGTCTCCAGTTTGGTGGTTGATAAACTGGGCAGAAGAGTCCTCCTCCTGTTCTCTGCGCTAGTCATGTGTGTCTGCTCCACCGCTCTAGGTGTATTTTTCTTTATGCAAGGCGTCCACGGTCCCGAATCGTCGATCGTACAGTCAATGTCCTGGCTGCCTTTGCTGTCTCTTTCCCTGTTCATTATCGCTTTCTCTCTGGGCTTCGGTCCCATCCCCTGGATGATGGCGGGCGAGCTCTGCTTGATTGATATCAAAGCTTTCGTCGGCTCCACCGCCGGAACTCTCAACTGGCTGCTCAGTTTCACGGTCACCAGCACCTTCAACTCGTTGAACAAATCGATCGGACAGGGACAAGTTTTCTGGATGTTCGCCGGCATTATGCTCGTAGGCTTTCTATTCATCTTCTTCGTCATACCGGAGACGAAAGGAAAGAGCGTAGACGAGATCCAAATAATGTTAGGCGCGGAACCCCAGACGCAGAGCAATTCTAACACCACAAAAAAATAAACCAATCAAAGAGACTGAATGGAAGAGTATTTTTATATAAAGACTTACTAAATGTTAGTCTATGATTGGCTAATTGTTTCTTTGGTGTCACAATTGTGCTACGAAAAGCAATATTTTTGTCTATGCGTTACCAAAGATTTGTCCTCTGTCTGGATTTTGCATTCCACTGTCGACACCTAGATTAAGGAAATGGTAGGTTATTTTTTAGTGTAATTTGTAATGATAGCAAATATGTTAAGGCAGCTGATTTGATATCCATTTTTAATATCGACTTATATGGTATATTGCTTTGTATGACCCTTGTGCTAGAATTGTGTGTGTACATTCTGACATTTGGGTATGTTTTGTAAAATAAAGATGTTTTTATCCGTGATTGTAAGTAATCGATGAAATCATATCACAGAAAGAAATAATGTAAATACGATTTTAAAAATTACTTTTTTATATATTTACTTATTATTATTTTAACGAATTTATTTACAGGATAATAGAAAATGCCATAAATGTTAGCATAATAATGATATTGTATATTTGTATTAAATCAATTGAAATTATTTTTTAACATATTTTAATGCCAAGTTATTTATTTTTAAAAATATAGACATTTGTGATTTTAAATTATTTGACGTAAAAAAAGGCGCGAAAATTCTTTTCGTTTCAAATATATTAGTATTAACTTAATTTTAGGTGCATAACAATAATGGTTTCAACGAATTTCAAATTACAAATATTGTAGAGATGAATTAGGCTGTTTGCACACTAAATTTGGGCATGAATTTTTCAAAATTATCTAAGTTTCTCGTTTAATGTAAATTGACACAATACCATTGTATTTAACTATTAAAGTCAGTGTCTACGCATCCTAATGATGCAATAATAATGAGATTATTGTTATGTAAACTGAACATGATGTAAGTAAATAATAATTTGACGTAATGAACGTCAAAAATTAGTGCTTGCCAACGCTACGCGAATGTCACTGTTTGTAAAGCTCCTAAAGCAAAAACAATCACTGAAATTTTAAAATATTAGTTTTTATTTGGAATTAAGACAAAGGCCTTTTTATTTTAGTACAAAGTTAGGAGGAGACGTAAATTGTGAATAAAGGAATCTTAACTGCAAAGTTGTAACACCTTTCTTAAAAAAGTATGTTTTAGAAATGCAAATAAAGTTCGAAAGGTATGTAAAATAAAACGAGACATGCGCAGGCCACATTATTTTGTTAATATGATTTATAGCAGATGTAATAAACTCGCAAAGCAAATGTGAATATTGTTATTGTTTGCAGTTATTTGTAGATTTTAATAAATGTATGAAACTTTAAAAATAGTTATTTCATTTTTTACACACGATTTGTCGATAGTTTCACAATTTTCATCAAACTTTAGCTTATGGGAGGACATTGCTCACGATTAGTCGACTGATTGAAAATACTTTACTGTTGGTAGTTTTAAAAGTAAAACTGCAACGAACAGCTAATTTCTAATAAAATCTATTTGTCGTAGTAAATGCGCTGTGAGATGCATCATAATAAATATGTAATTATGTATACGTAAACACGGAAGATAACTTCTGTCATCTTTATCAGAGACAATAAGTTATAAACTTATGGACAATATGTTTATCACCTTGCACAGCTCCAACCTGAATCATTCTAATAGACAGAGATAGAAGGTTCTTAAAGAAAAGAGAAGGGCTCTTAAATTTTAGACTCGAGCGTCGTGTGGTGGGAATTAAAACCTGGGTCATTGTACTTCGCTCTTCTATTATATAAATTAATAAAAACAATTAATGCATCATTGTAATGTAATCTATAACAATTATCCCGTCTTTACTCCATTATTTTTGTATATTGTATACAAGATATTTCTGTAAGCCTGGTAGTTTTCACGTAGGTGATAGTGCAGGCGTTAACCCTTAATTCGACGAAATTTTCTGTAGCAAAAAAAAACTGTTTTTTTTAGTAAAGTCATACGTAATTTTCTCTAAACTAGTTCAGTAGATTTTTTTAATTAGTTGTTAGTCACACTGGACACCATCGAATTTCTTAATTAATAACTCTTGTTAAGTACCATTTTATCTAACTTTCTATATGGTATTTATGTTACTTGACTACATGATATTTAACAGACCGGGATATATACATTTTTGACCAAACTAAACTTGACAACGTCTTCACACGTTTCGCATCCCAGTATGTAAATTGGGCAGGTGCTTTTCTGCAGCTTTCATAATTTAGGTAATGTTTAAAAATGATCATACGGTAAAAGTGTATTATACATTTTTTTTTATTAAATACAGATAAAACAAATCGAACAATGAAATGTATTTGTTATCTCTATTTAACTCGTTGACGACCATGTCAGTTATATGGTAGGCAGACAAAGAACACATGACCTCATGTTTGATATCAAATAACAGTTGAGTCAATTATATTCAGTAACTGTCCTCATTTACACGCAAAATCAATAATGAAAAGCAATTGTTTACTACATATATTTATTTTGTTCCTTTCTGTATCACAAATACATGCACATTCACAGCATTATAAATATTAATCTCGTAACAATCCAATTACAGTTACTGGTTTTTACAATCTTTGGTTACAACGGACATAATTTACACATTTACAAATTTCTTATTTACATGATTAACATTTATACATTAAAAAATTAAACATTCTATGTGACCTATCATTTTATGACTTAGCCTCCTTAAATATTTTTCACTTCAAAACGTGCGAAATTTCTCACAATAATTAACCAAAAACAACCTTATGGCTTCCTTAAAATAATTTAATAACAATAAAATAAAAAGGAGCCTATAATATATTCAAATTTGAACCTCCACCACCTATTTTTGAGTAAGCACTTCTATAAAAATTGCAACAGAACAATGAATTCATCATAGCATTCAACGAAGAAGAACTTTGTGTTCTGTACAACCCTGAAGACACTTCCTCAATACATGGTTCACCAATAAAAGTTTGCAAATCACTCTTCGGAAAACCTTCGCTGTAGTATTGTTTTATAGTATCATATGCATCCATTATAACAGATATAAATAAACTGAGAACAACATAAATGTAAAGACTTATAAAAGAGTATAAGTAAACACGGCTAAACCACCAGAGCATCGGTGATTTTTTTGACATGATCGAGAAAGTTGCAAACATATCATCCCCGTTAATAAGAGAAAACAAGCACTCTGATGTTGTAGCTAAGGATCTAAATTTCATGTGATACGGACCTAGTATAAGCCAACCGCAGAACATAAACCCAGCATAAAGGAGCAAAGCACAGAAAGAAAATCTAAATATTTTCGGTGCTGCCTTTTTCAATGTTAGTATAACAACATTATATGTTTTAAAGAAGCCTAAGTATCTAAGTACTCCAAACCATACTAACAAATTACCTAAACCTAAAAATAAAGAACACACATTCCATTGATCATTTGTAAATTGGTTTCTTTCTATTTGTTCTTTTATTGCTGATCCCATAATGATAAGTAAATCGTTGACAATAATCATTATATACCAAATATTAAGGAATTCCAGTCGACCATCCCAACTTAATTCTTTGTTATATGCCCTTCGGAAAAATTGCACAGTTAATTCTTTAAGGAGCTGTGCTCGATATATAGCTCTACTGCATAACATGAGGGATGCAGAACAGATTAATATAACCAGTATGTTAAGAATACTACGTAAAATCTGATCGATTTTGTTATCCGTAATGTAGTTTTTATCACCATTGCAGACCAGTTTATAGGGTTCCGCTTCGAGGACCAGAGACATTTGTCCATCATGATCTTCATTATCAAATATTATTTCTACATCAAACCTGACACACTCTGGTGGGGTGATCGGACCGGCTGCTCTGAAGTTTATAGTTTTTAGAGAAAACATTAACTTAGCTCTTACTAGTGCTGCAAAATTAATTTCCATGCCTGAATCTTTGATGTAATGTTTGGATTTAAGCAACTGACCATTAGGTAATGTAAAATTTATACAAGTTTCATTGATTTCCGAGTTGAATTCATAGCTCTCATTAAATCCATGTATGATGCCTTGTTTATAATTATATTGGCAGAAGACAGGGTCAGGCATGTTGTTGTTGTCATCATTATATGAATATGGGCCAATAGCATTAGACAGATTAGCATAGCCTGCATATGCATAATCCAATGTGTTATAAAATTCATCAATTTTATAAACAGCTAAGGGACCAGCACCTGGAGGGTAGGCATTTATCTCTCTTGTAGAGTCCCAACCAAGTAGAAAAAGATGCGAGAATGTAATCCGATTGTCCCAAGTATAATTTACATGATTATATCTGTTATGTGCAAAGAGACAGAGTTGGAAAGTTACCAAAATTATCTTGATCACTTGCACAATGAATTTGTATGGAAACTTTCGCTTTGCTTGCCATTTTTCGATTGGATTCATAAAGAAAAACTGTAGTTTACGACGCATTTTTTCTTCCATTTGGTTTAGATTGGAGGAAGTAGTAGGACATGAAGAATATCCTTGAACATTTCTGCGATTACCTTGATTTCTTTCCGGTGTTTCGTTTTCTTCTTCTGTACCAGTGTTTTCATCTGGTAATGACTCCATTCTCTCCATTATAAGTATTTCTAAAAAAATTGCGTTTGAACAAAACCAGATTACTATAATAAGTAAACACAAAACTTAGTTTGATATTAAAAATATAGTTTATCTGGCTGCCAAATTTTATCGGATTGTTTACAATTAAAAGTATTTAGAAAACATCACTAGTAATAATAACTTTTAAGTAAAATGTTCACCACACAAAGGAATTGAGTTGAATGCACAGAAGAAAACAAGATATTGAAGTTGAAGTTATATGTCATAGTTGAATTGAAATGAAATTGTGAAATAATGTCATCACACATTTTGTTTTATAGCAATATTTGTTTACAAATTAAACTTCTTAATAATCTGTGCATCGATTGTCTGTGGTTTGCAAATTCATGACAGATTCAAGTTATCTATGACAAGTGTTATCCATGTTTGTCGTATTATTACATTATCAGGATCAAGAATTTTCTTCGAAAGAATTTGTAATGTCTTCATAAATTTTAACTCTATACGTTTATTGTATATCTCCTTTATCTTGTAATAACTGGCCTGTGTCGATAAATATACAAAATGACGTTAACAGTCGACAAGCTATTCAATAAACAAAGGTAAGTTTAGTTTATATTTTGGGGAAAGTAAGACGAACTTCAATCGTCAATGCAAGGTGTTTTCTTTAGAGGTTTACTACCGTATGTTTACCGTTTCAGGTTTACGGGCGATAATCTATTGCAGTTTCTCTTCTATTTACCTTTGGGGCTACTTTTTATGAGTTTAAGAATTATTCTGGGATTGATATTATGGATTGCTGCGATTATTCTACCTGATAAATCAGGTGTGCGACAGATATTGTCCACACTCGCTTGTTGGACGTTTGGTAAGGACATTATAACTAAATTGAATAAGATTCCTAAAATAATTGTATGTACTTGCCTCTTTTGCTTAAAAAATATTAGCAAATTTTTACCATGACAACTTGACATTAAATTGATATATAACATCATATTTACATATATTATACATATTAATGTCCATTAAACTTGTCTTCTGATAAATTTTGCTTTCAAGAATTTAAAAGTATAAGACACTATAAGAATTACCAATTAAAATGTAAATATAATTCACATTTTCTCAGGTGTTTATGTAAAATTGAAAGGCAACAGGGATCCACGGTGCAGTGTACTGGTGGCCAATTATGTGTCTTGTTTGGATTCTCTAGCGGCTTCACATGTTCTTGGAACTATTAGCGTAAGTAATAAACAAATGTGTCTATCAAATTTAAATATCAGATTATTGTTTTTTTATTCCATTATGGTAATTTAAATTGTACATTTGATTTTCAGCTAAGAAAATGGAAAGTGCCGCCATTTTTTGCTTCAACTCTCGGTATACGAAATGCATCACAATTTATAAGAAAGTAAGTATTTATAATGGTTTTAGTACTGAACAAAGTAGAGTATTGTGTGTTAAAACCTATTTTATATATAGCTAAGCAGATAAAGTGCTGGCTATCAGTTGTTGTGGAACTCCAATGCCATGATAATTGTGTTACAGTTGACCCTGAATAAGCCAAAGTCTATGGCACCAATATATTTATCTCACAGAAGTTTCTCTCAAACCCTTTCTGTTTTATGGAGGTTGTCCGTTCATGCAGGACATTGGCTTTCACTTATTACTAATTCATACATGTCATCCCTTATTTACTTACATATAACAGAGACTATGTATCAGTGCAAGTTCCAGAACAGGGAAATTCTAGTTTAACACTAGAACTTACAGACAGAAAATTTAGTATTTAATTCTAGTTTTAAGATTATTACTTCTGTTATTACTGCTAAAAATGCACCAATTGCAGGCAACACTTTGCTGACAGCTCAAGTAAGCCCATCCTGCTGCAGCCAGAAGGATGCCCCACTAACGGCAAAGCCCTGCTCAAGTTCACAGATTGGCCCTTCCCCATCGGCAACAGGGTGCAACCAGTTGCTATACGTGAGTTCTCTTTCTTTATTGTAATGGGAATTGATGGATGAGGGAATGGTTGAGGAGGGAAAATTTTCTCTGTTCATCTCCTCTGTCTAATGAAGGTAGGCAATATATTCATAATTTAAGATGTCTATAATCAACGGTCGCTTCGACATTTCGGCGAATTTAAGTACCGGCTTGCTCATTTGACAACTTATAATTTAAAAAAAAAGTTGTGTGGTGTGTAACATAAGTATGTACATAAACTCGTGTCTCGTCACTTGTATTGTGACGTCATAGTTTTAGAATTAAAAAAATAAGTAGAGTTAGATATTCAATAAACAAATTTAATCTTGACTCAATAAAAATAAAAGAAACTTGTTATTGTTAGAAAATGTTAGAATCGTCTAAATAGATGTGTCGCAATATTATTGTTGACCTTTACAAGTTTACCTTGAGCGCTATTAACTCAAACTGAGAAAAGATATTTTATATTTGAATGCATTTAATAGTCGTGGATTTCTGAGATTTAAATCTCCATTTAAAACATAATGTTCTCTCTCTTTTGTCAAAGATAATGAGAGGGATAAAAAATATAAAACACTTTATTAACAAAGCTCTTTGTGTTAATAATCATTAAAATCACTTCTGTCAAATTCCACAAAAACAATTAAGAATAAGTAATTTAAAAAAAATATCTTTAAAATGACGTGACAGATGACACTTGACGCTAGTCATCTACTTGAGCTTTAAGTTTTTGCCCCCATTAATTAGTAATAAGTAAGACAAAATGGTGAAAATCAAATAGGCACAAAGTAGCACGGTTTATAGCCTGTCCATGTGTTGGTGTGATGGTCAGGTGTGGAGCGAGCGATGAGCGCGGTGTGCGTGCGGGGTGCGGGCGGGGGCGGGGGCGGGCTGGCGCGGCAGCTGTGCGAGGACGCGCTGTGGTACCTCACCGCGCCCGCCACAGTGTACACGCTGCGCCTGCTGCCGCCGCTCGACCGCGACGCTGACGACGACGCCGCCTTCTCCCGCCGCATCGCACTCGCGCTGGCTGACGCGCTACAGGTACATATGGAACTGACTAGATATAGCATTGTGTCATTAATCTTTATTATTCACAGCTATTTATATCTTTATGTTAAATAATCGTCAACAATAATAAGATCGTCATGCCATAGGCAGTTTTTGACATTTGACGTTTACAAGTTTTAAGGGTTACCAGTGAGCAAAAATTTCCAAACTTTTTTTGAAATTTTTCCATGATGCGACTCTAAGCCATTGATTTGCAACTTATGATCTCCGTTGCTGTAGTAATTCCTTACTATTTAGATTAACAAATCCAAATTAATTCACCTACATGTCAACATTATAGTGACATTTTTCTGGGATTTCGAAAATATGAAAATGGCAACATTTAATCGTGTAGCCGCCGCACCCTCATTGGTCAAAATGTGAACCTGTCAACTGCCACAAAATCCTTGTCGTACGGCGTACGATCTCTCCCATTTGCGCACTTTCATCCCCTCTCAATATGCGAAAAACATGAGCTTGTAAATGGTTGTAATTGAATCTGTTCTTTCTGATTTGACTAAGTTTATTTACGTTCCTGTACATTGTAGATCCCGGCGACGGAGTTCAGATGGGAGGAGCTGCCGGTTGCAAGTGCGAGTGGGGGTGGGGGTGGAGGTGCGGCAGGTCGAGGTGGTGCGCGGGGCGGTGCGCGGGGTGCGGGCGGGGCGGAGTCTCTGGTGCGTATGGCACGCAAAGTGCGCGAGGTGCTGCCCGCTGTGCCCGAGCGTGATGTACTGCGCGACCTCGGTATGTATAACTGTACCATATTGATTTCACCGACTCAATGGGGAAATTATTTTATGTTTTCTTAATGTACGATTTGACTACGACATATATGTCAGACATTAATTATTTTTACTTATCGGCTGACGCGGCAGTTGTTGTGTCGCAATAAATTTTGCAATCAGAGACACTCATGTTCTTCACATTGTATATTAAAATTAATAGGTAAATTATTTTTTCTCTTTAGCTAAAACACGAAGCGTGGACGTGACTATAACGAACTTCCTGGAGGGCATAACTCCGTACACACCGGAAGCGGCGCCCCCGAAGGCGCAGGCGCAGGCCCCGCCCCCAGCGGAGCCCCGCCCCGGACCCTCGCGGGAGCCGCCCAAGTACGTGATCCCCGCACCCACTGGCGTCTTCCCCAAGACCGCCAAGGAGCGTCAGCTCAGCTTCCAGGAGAAGAAGGCGCAGATGATCGCTGAAGCCAGGCAGAAATACATTGAAAAGCACGGACTCGATGTCGCGAACTGTTGAACACGTCGCTTGTAATTTTACGATAGATAACATCGGATTGTGTTTGTATATTGAAAGTTGATAGTAATCATTGAATTTGAATTAAAATTGTGATATAAATTATTTGTATTTTGATTTCTGAATTAGTTGCGATATAAATATCTGCTGAATGAGACGAGACGTCCTCAAACTGACAATGTTTAAATGAAAATTATTTTTACGAAGAAAAATATTATAGTAATTATTATTTCTAAATATACAAAAAATATAATTGTCGCGTTTATGAAAACTTGTAATATTATGAATAAGATAAATAATTTTCATTATAATATTTTCTTTCAATATTTAAAAATATACAGAAAATATGACGAATTTATTCAGTTAAGAATTATGTTTGAAACTCAAAAATGTTATTCCTTAAACAAAAATGTTGGATTTATCGTAAAATTACAAAACAAAATGAAAGCAATTTGAGCCGCTTACAGGGAAAAGTTTTCTCGAGTATAAGAATTAAATTTTGTTCTTCGGACGACTTTTTTTTTCTACATTTTTTTTTCAAAATACTTCAAAATGCATAGCATTATTCGGACAAACCCAGTAAACAGAGTATTGTGACATATTTTACACAACTTTATAAGAAATTTGAAGCGAGAAATGAAACTGTTTATTTTAAAGGTTGTATTATGGTTCTGAAAAATTATAGTAATAAAAATAATTAGGATAAAGCTTGTAATTATTTCTAAATTATCACGTGTCCTTTTCATGTAATATTAAGGTGGATTTTCATAGCGATGGAGTATGGGGAAAAACTTAACTTTGTCTTTCCATTGACAAAACGCCTGTCTAAAGCAGTCTGTGTTTTTTCAATAATAATGTAAGCGAGAAGAATATTTTTTGTACATGTTTTGTCAGTGGAAATCCACGGTTAATTTGTTCCACTATTGTAGTTGTAATTATCGACTTTATTCATATGTAAGCAGAGTTTATTTTTGTACACAAGCTGGTGATGCGCGTTAGATGCCAAATAGGTATTCACTTTTTTCAACACGATTTTCATGTTATTGTAAAAAAAAATACGAAAATGACCTTGAAAAATCATAAAAAATACTCGTAAGTATTTTTTTTGATCTCGTGAGTATCAAATTACAAATATTTTTTAAGTATCTGTTTTACACTTTAGACCTATGACGTCATAATATTGTTTGGAAATAAGCACATTTTTTTCCAAATTTTAATCCTTAATTCGACGAAATTTTTTGTAGCAAAAAAACTGTCTTTTTTATAGTAAAGTCATACTTACGTTATTTTCTCTAAACTGGTTCAGTAGATTTTTTTTAAATTAGTTGTTAGTCACACTGGACACCATCGAATTAAGGGTTAACTCCGGCCTCCACTAAAGGATGAAAAAAGTTTTTAAAACAATTATTTTGCACATAAAGGATGTTTGTACTTTATATCGAGTTATTTAAACTATTAAAATGTTAAAATGAAAATTTTAACTAAACGAGTTGTTTCGTCAACATAATTATTATTTACATAGTAATAAGATATAATATATACCTATTTAATATAAGCCTTAGATCTCCTTTATTAAGCCTCAATCATAATTGCAAAATTAATAATTAGCAGCTGAGATTTCGCAGTCATATGTTTCTTTAAATTTATTTTATTTTCCTTAAACAAATTTAAAATAAAAAAGCATACTTTTTTTAAATGTCTATTTTAAATTATTTTTTTTAAAAAAAATTCAATTATTATTTTCGTATTCATTTAATGGTTTGTTTTTAAGTTTCTTTTAAAAATATATACAAAGTATTTTTTGCTTTTAGATTACGTCTTCCTTCATTTTTTAGTGTAAAGAAGTAAAAATAATTTAAGTCACATGAATATTTTGTAAAAAAAATTGATTATTTAAAATATAATTTGTGTACATCTGTATAATATATTGAACATAACTTTGGACATTTTACATATCAATATATTTTTTTTAACAAAATTGTATTCCTTATTTCTGTTTGTTATTTTATTTTGAGAATTAAATATTTGTTTAGATAAATGTGTTTCATTTATAGAAATTCACTTTAATATAAGAAAAAGGAATGACAAATTTAGTTAAGTTTTGAAGAGACGAAACAACATCCATCCATCCATTTATCCAAACTTTCGGATTTAACTACAACTGTTTATGACTGTCTTGAAGTAGAGAATTACTGTTTTTTTTAACTTTAAAATGAAATATTATTAATAAGTCATAAAGACTGTTAAGAATACTCGAAACCGAGCATGGAAAGAGGTGTGCCAGAACTGCGCCAATTAAAAAAAAACAAAATCTTTATTGCAGTTGATTTATTTGTGATAATTTATTATGTATAGAAACATTTCTATAGGCCGAGCCTGTGCGGAGTGCGGCGCGGCGTGTTGAGGCCGGGCGTCGCTATCTCCTGCTTCACGGGAACCTCTTCGTCTCTCTTTCTCTTCTCTTCCGCCATCTTCTGTTCCGCTTCCTTCATCTCTTCCTCCATCCGCTGCAAGTGGACTGCTGCTTCTTTCTTTTTATCTCGGTTTGATCTGCAAACAACACAATTAAAAATACGGAAATGGAAATTTCAAGAATATTTAAAAACTCGATAACTTGATCGCAGGTTTGGATATCTATATTTGATTATTATGAACTATAACTTAGCATAAACCTAGAGGACTTAGCTGGAACGGTTAAAAACATTCAAGATATTTTAAAGAATCTGTTGTATAAAAAAAGAACACTGACTTGCCGGTCTCCTTGACGGAGAAGAACATGGGTCCGAGCTGTGCGAGCCAGCGCGCGTCCACAGCGGTGACGCAGTGCATGTACTCGCGCGAGGTCATGGTCAGCTCGTGGTAGACCACGTAGTCAGGGGGGCTGCCCAGACCGAACAGCGCGGAGGTGGGGTGCAGGTGGCAGGGCATGCCGGTGCGGCAGTTCACGTACTCCCCGATGCCCTTCAGCCGCGCCGCTTGCTGGAAGTATGCTGCGGGGGGAATGTGCTACTTACTGACGAGTCAAGTGTAGAAGTCTAGTTTTACTCTACTTTCCCATCCCGCCCTTTTCATGAGAATAGGATAAGAAGGAGAAGTACATTTGGCGAAGGTGTGTGTGTGTGTGTGCGTGTACACATACCGGAGCAGATGCACTCGCGCACGGTGTCCCAGCGCGTGCCGCAGGAGGCGAGCGGCAGTCGCTGCGCCTGCAGGATGTCGCGCAGCTGCTGGCGCACTTCGCGCACTTTGCGCAGCGCCTTCGCGTGCACGAAGTGCTGCGTGCACCACGCGCTCGAGTAGCTGCGCAACACAACTCTCATCAATACGCTTCTTCACTCACATGTATACCACTGAACATATTCCGCTGTGATTAAGTATACATTGACTAGTGGAATAGGACATCTGAACATTTTATTTCTGTGATCTGTCAAAAACACGTGCAGAAATTGACGACGAGCGCGCGGAAGAATGGCGTTGGAGCCGATCGATAAAAACAAAGAAAGATATAAAATTGTAGTCAAATTAACACGTTAAAACAGGCAGTTTCATTAATTTGAAAAAATTTTGCGCATCTACAGTACAGTACACAACGAAGATGTGCTACAAAGAGGAGAGAGTTTCACATGAAGGTAGAGCGATGATACAAAGTAGCAAACTGTGTACTGACTTGTTGGACTTCCACTGGTTGTACAGATGCAGCAGTGTGAGATGGTCAGACTCCGGCACCTGGAACTTCTCCCGCGCCGCGTCCGCCTCCTCCTCGCGCCCCTGCGGCCGGTAGAACACTGACGGCACCGACAACATCGACACTGCAACAAACAAAACGAACCTTTCTAAGTTACAAGTTAAAGTTCATTATTGCCAAAGAGGAAACAGAGTATAGCCCCGTATCTATTTTATGTACAGATGTTTTGGGGGTGAAGGTTACACAGTTATCTCTCACCAATGATGAGGACCTCAGCGCTGCAGCCCATCTCCGCGCTGACGATGAGCATGTGGCACTGCGGGGGATCGAGTGGGAACTCCGCCATCTGCCGGCCCAGCGGCGTCAGCTCTCCCGTGCCGTCCAGCGCGCCCAGGATCCACAGCTGGTACATCGAGTTCAGGATCGTGTCCTGTTACATGAGTACACCTATATAAACCTTTCGATGGCCTTTTATGAGATTATCGTTGGGGAGAGGATGCGTGTAGTGCAGGTTTGGTGGTTATGATCTTGGCGAGGGATCCATAAAGGGTGTTGGCGAGGGGTGTGTGTAGTGCGGGGTGCGGGGTGCGGGGTGCGTGGTGCGGGGTGCG